CTCTCTCTCTCTCTCTCTCTCTCTCTCTCTCTCTCTCTCTCTCTCTCTCTCTCTCTCTCTCTCTCTCTCTCTCTCTCTCTCTCTCTCTCCCCTGTCTTTCTCCCTTGTCTTCCTCCCTTGTCTTCCCTCTGTACACCCGAAGACCACCACTGCACCTTGCTGTATGTCCAAGTCCAGCCTGCTATGGAAGCTGGGCTATGGCGCTGCCCTCAGCAGCGCCCTTCTTCACACACGACCGCACGTGCACAGCACCTTGCCCCAGCGCTAGCAGCAGCATGTGAGCAATCACTCCAGCAGCGCTGCCGCAAACTAGCAAGTGCCCGAATGCGCTGCCAGGCAGCGAACTCTTTCCTATATGGAAAGAGTCTGGCCTGGCCTGCGGCCTGCGCCCAGAAGCTTCCGGTAGGCCCCAGGTGGCTGGGCCTCTCCTGCTGCTGCTGGGCCTCATTCAGTTATGCCTCCCAACTGTTTGTGTATGTTGCCGCGAATGTGGCCCAGGGCCTTTAGGCCTGCCGACGAGCCATATCCTCACATTCCCTCCTCCTTTACTTCGATAGTCCCCTGAGAAGTCCCTTAATCTGCAGGCAACTTTTCCTCGAGTGCTCTTTTGTAGCCTGCAATCACTTGGGGAGCTGTTTGCTAGATTTCTTCCCTGGTAAACCACCGATCTTCACTCGGATCAGTATGGTGTCTGAATCTGACACGGTACTGCATCCTTGGCTTTGGAGGTCGGCCTCTGCTGGGAGGTTTAGACACTGGCATCACCCGATGCTCCACGATTTCGTCGATGTCGACTTCGCCATCCATGGTTGGGGGCAGCATTGATCGTCTGGAGGGAAACTGTGCAGTTTCTGCGAAAGGTGCCAGCTTTGAGACGTGAAAGACTGGGTGTGTACGTAGATGGGCAGGGATGCGAATGACATAGGAAGGTCCGTCTATCTGATCCCCCACAATGCCTAGGACCTCCCAGGGACCAAAATACTGCGGCATTAGTTTACGTGCGATTCCCAATTCTTGGCCCATTTCAGATGACTTGACCCATACTCGCTCTCCTACCTGAAATTGAGATGGTTGTCTGTGCTTGTTGTCAGATGCCACTATTGCATCTTGAGCTTTCTTAATGTGGTCTACAACCTGTTGCAGCATCTGTTCATACTTGACAGCAAATTCTATGCTGCCAGGCGCTACAGATGGTTGAGTTTTGGGTAGTAGAAAATCCAGGGCGGACCTGGGCTTCCAACCAGGGTGCAGTTGGTTGGGAGTCATACCAGTAGTGCTATGCACAGCATTGTTGCAAAGGCTGGCGACGAGAGGTAGTGTCTCGTCCCAATCATCCTGACTTGGCTTGATGTAATGTCGTAGCAGGTGCTGCACTACCCAGTTCATCTGTTCCACCTGGCCATTTGACTCAGGGTGATTTCCCGATGTCATCTGCAGTCGGGTACCCATCTGTTGAACAATATTTTGCCACAGTTCGCTTGTGAAGCGAACTTCCCTATCACTAACAATAGAGCTAGGTAAACCAAAGTCCCGTACCAGTTATCCATAAACAGTTTGATAACACATTCAGTTTTCGTTGTTTCTAGCATAGCGATGTCTAGCATACTTGGAAAATCGGTCCACTATAATGAATATATCTCTTTTCTTTCCTGGTGGTCACCAGGGTCCAAGGTATCCATGAAGTCCATGGACACACTTTGACCGGGACCTTCGTGGATTGGCAAGGGCTTTATGAGCCCAAGCGGAGCTTGAGTCCTAGGTTTGTCCCGTTGGCAAACCTGGCAAGTTTCAACGTACTTTTTTGCATCTTGCATTATACAAGGCCACCAGAATCTCTGCACTAGGTTAGCTGATGTCTTTTTAAAACCAAAATGACCAGTTGCATCATGACACTCGCCTAAAAACAAACTATGCAAAGACTCTCTATCTGGAACACACAATCTTTTATTCCCAGCCTTCTCAAGGAACAGCAAGCCATTGACCACCGTAAATTCGGCAGAAGTTACTTTATCTTTCGCTTCTAACTTACGAATGATTTATGACATAACTGCGTCTTCCCGATAGGCCTCCACCAAAGATCGAGTTACGTCCTCAAATATCCCAAACTCGGTCACTAGCGCGCCCAGATAGTCTGCCGTACGCGATAGTGCATCGGCCACTTTATTGTACTCTCCTTCGAGAGGATCAAGTTGGAAACCATACATATCTATAACTTGAATCCATCTCTTGAGTGCATCTGAGAGTACCGGCTGTGTCTTAATCCAGCGCAAAGTCTCATGGTCAGATCTTATATAGAAGAATCTGCCTAGGAGATAGTGTCTCCAGTGGACTAGCGCTATAGAGGCATAGAGCTCCCGCTCATACGTGGACTTCACTAATTTTTGAGATGACAT